ATATAGAAAATTAATTGATTCTCCGAAGATCGTTATATCGATAGTTACACGTTTTTATTTGCGTTGTTCGCATTGAAGTAGCACGTATAGGATGAAGTCTGTCTCTTATACACATCTAGATGTGTATAAGAGACAGGCCACGGCCATGGTCAGGAAGATGTGCCAGGTGCGCGGGAATTTATATTGTCATTTCAATGACCTGCGAGGCTGCACGGTGCACCGTACTATGCCGGTAAAAAAATGCGCCGTGCGACGGCGTGCGTCATACTTTTAGAAAGCTAAAATAGTTTAAATATGGACGCATGGCAACGCAAGTTACGTAATCACACTGACCGTACACACAAACGTGTATCCGCATTGTGTTGTGGTTGGATATGAGTTAACTAGATTGCTAACATGTCAACTCAGGACTCAGGTTCTAACAGTCAGCACAGTAATGAATATTCATTCATAATCATAGATCACAATTCAATCGGACATGAATTACAGAACTAAAGAAGGCAACATGGCTTTAGATGTGCCATTGGTGCCTTCTAATGAATGACTGGACTGGTCGTGGCAAGTAGGGTATAGGTCTTGGACAAATTTACGGCCGGACTTGCGGCCAGAAAGGTTTTCTTAGTGTTTTTATGGGTTTTTCTAGTTTTTTTTGTGTTTTTAATGGAACCTGTTCCTAACTGGACCTAACCTGCTAGGTTTTTTCTATGTTTGGAGTCCGGCAGCCGCGGGACCGGCCATAAATTTGTTTGAGACGTGTAGGGTATGAACCTGTACGTCAACAGTACGATCCTGCATGCCAATGTTGGGACTACATTCCCGACATCCTCCCGGCTGGCAAAATCGACACAATCAATACCTAATAACAATGCGCTTAAATGGACTATACAAATTAGGTCAATATGGCATAATTATATATATATATATTTGCAAGATAAGTCAATGGTCTGTTGTTTATTTTTGCTTCATTTGAGCAATTATGGTTTCCAAATCTGGGTGCGTTATGTTACGTCATGTGTACTTTGAATGTGCAAAAGTTAGAACTATCGTATGAAAATTGTTACGTAGGTTATCATAGCAGGAATCGCAATAGAGTATCAAGATTGCAGTTCTGCCACCACCCTTCTTTGAATTACCCCGCCTTTTTTTTAAATTAAATAATCTCTCTTCCAGCAAAGTTTGCGAAATTCATTAGCTGCATAAAATACTCTCTGCTGTGGTGTTCAAGTCTGCTTGACATGAAAACTTGCGGTTCCAAAAATGGGGGTAAAGCTCTAATTGCGCCGCTCTGAAGGCAATCTATTTAAATAATATAATCCACGCCCACGCTGGAGGAAGTTCAAACTTCAGAGGTGGAACTTAATGCAGTAAATTTGCAGTAAGTTGGAAAATACCAGAAAAATACCAGATTAAGGCATATATACCAGATCTAAAATATTCATACCAGACACCTTTTGAAAATACCAGATTTGTGAAATCTGGTATAGAAATATACCATCTGGCAATGCTGGTTCAGCGTTACTTGAAATCATCTACAGACGATGTTGCCATTCCATTCAGATGAAAACTGTGTCTAAATCAGAACTG